TTTTTTTTTTTTTAAGTGTAGGAATAGCAACATACATAAGGGAAAAATTTTACCATTTAGATGGTATATTAGAATTTTAAAAGAGTGATTTGTTTTTTATTTAGGTTTATATACCTAAAGGAATTACATTTTTCTTGTTCTACAGAATTTTCAAGACCTCTGTAGATATATTATGGAGATTATGCAATGAATAGTTTTCTATCAGTCAATAAAAGTTGTTTATTGAATATTTAAGAATACTACCAGCAAGCAATTAAGCACATCTCCAGCACAATGTAAATGATTTTAAATGACCCTTCATTCCTGACCACTCATTTTTCAATAATTAAGGATCAATTCTAATATGTTCAATCTTCTCTTAATATTAAGCAGATACTATTATATTTTTTAAACTTGATATCCATATGATATATATATTTAAAACCAAATAATTATATAAAATAATTTAATTAAACACTAGACCTTTCTCTAGTTGTAGTCTGAGAAAACATAAATGTGTGTGTGAGAGAGACATGCTTTCTTGAAGGAAACGCTAATACCCAGATTTAGAACCTTAACTAGTTATATCCAATAACCAAGAAAACCCAAACCCACTTTAATCCAGTTGATTCCAACCTATAGATCCTTTGTATAAGATTTTAGAGACAAATCCTTATGGGACTCAGAAAGCCTCATCTTTCCTCTGCAGTGAGTGCTGGGTTTGAACTGACAATCTTGTGATTAGTAATCTAGTGCTTATCCTACAGTACCTCCAGGGTTATACTTGTGTCCAATAGTAGATGTAAAATAAGAAGCACAAGATTTCTCCAAAATATATCCAAGGATTACTGAATAACAAAGAGAATAATGTAATCATGGGTGATGGGTAGCCCTAATGAACTTTGGCTGACTTCTTAATGATTTCTAATTGACTTCTACCTTAATCTGTCTTATGGTCGATTCTGCTGATGTGCTTACCAGCACATTTGGATTTGAGAGTAATACCAGATAAGCTATTTATGCAATATCTTGCCCTTTATATTTTATAGTTAAGTTTATGGTTTATTTAAAATTTTTGATGTTTTGAAATAATGGTCATATTATGTAAGTATTACTAAATTCCAGGTGGGATGGGAGGTGGCCAACTGCAGCCTCATAGCTGGCTGGTAATCACTTTTGCAGTGTGTGTACTTGGGCAGGAATTCAGACCCCAGACCCTGAATACACCATTGCCATCCCTCCCAGTCCACGTCTCTGGTACTGTACCATGCAGCCTAAGGCAGACACCAGGCTCTTGGGGACCATAGAGAGGGAGAGTCCAGGCATATAAAGGATGAGATCCAAATCATAGCACTACCGAAGGAGGTTGTGAGGCCAATAAAGTAGGGCCACCGCTGTCTGACTGGCACAACTAGAGTCCTTATCCACTTCCCCCCAGCAACCTAGAATGATTCCTAATAATAAATAAGTATTAATATATTAACTACTTTGATAAATAATAAATCTTAGCTGCACAAGTCCTCTTTAAAGTGTTCAAGAGCAAGCATGCCAGTTTTAAGACTAAGATGTGCCTGACCCAAGGCATGGTATTTTCAATAGTTTGATATGCATGTGAAAGATGGACCATGAGTAAAGAAGACCTTAAAAGAACTGATGCATCTGAGTTATGCTGTTGGAGGAGACTATTAAAGGTATCATAGGTAGGTTTTTTATGAAGATGGCGCCAAAAGCGAAGAAGGAAGCCCCTGACCCTCCCAAAGCTGAAGCCAAAGCAAAGGCATTGAAGGCCAAGAAGGCTGTGCTGAAGGGTGTCCACAGCCACACAAACAAAAAGAAAATCCAACGTCACCCACCTTCCTGCGGCCCAAGACTCTGAGGCTCCGGAGGCAGCCCAAAGGTCCTAGGAAGAGTGCCCCCAGGAGAAACAAGCTTGACCACTATGCCATCATCAAGTTCCCTCTGACTACTGAGTCAGCCATGAAGAAGATTGAAGATAATAACACACTTGTGTTCATTGTGGATGTCAAGGCCAACAAACACCAGATCAAACAGGCTGTGAAGAAGCTCTATGACTTTGGCGTAGCTAAGGTCGACACCCTGATCAGGCCTGATGGAGAAAAGAAGGCATATATTCCACTGGTTCCTGACTATGATGCTTTGGATGTTGCCAACAAAATTGGGATCATTAAACAGAGTCCAGCTGGCTAATTCTAAATATAATTTTTTTCAATTAAAAAAAAAAAAAGTACTATGGATGTCCAAAAGAACAAACAAATCTGTGTTAGAAGAAATACAGCCAGAATATTCTTTAGTTAGCATGGCCAGACTTCTTTTCTCATATTTCGGACATATTATCAGAAGGCACCAGTTCTTGTACAAGGACATCATGTTTGATAAAGTGGAAAGTCAATGAAAAACAGGAAAATTCCCAAGAAGATGGATTGGCACAATAGCATGGGCTCAAGTATAGTTACTATTATGAGGTTCACGCAGGACCAGACAGGGTTTCGTTTTGTTGTGCATAGGGTTGCTATGAATTGGTACAGATTTCATGGCACCTAACACAACAACTTTTTGAAGTGCAAAGTAAAACATTATCACCAGCATTGCTGTTGTTGTTTTGTGCTTTATAGTCAGTTCCAACCCATGGCGACCCTGTATAGATTTTCTGAGAGTGGGTGGTGGGTTTGACCTGACCACCTAGCAGTAGCAATTCAGTTCTTCTTCTATAGTGCCACACCAGGATTCAATTATCGGCATACTTCAGGGATGTTGAGGGTTTGATTCCAGACTACTATAATAAAGTGAATATCTCAATAAAGCAAGTCATACAAATTGTTTGGTTTTATAGTACATATAAAAGCTATGTTTATATTATGTTCTAGTTAATGAAAATGCTGGAAAATTACCAAGATATGAGAGTTACCAAAATATGACAGAAGTGCATAGTAAGCACATGATGCTGGAAAAATAGTGTCTTGTTTGAGCAGGATTGTAAAAACAAAACAAAAAAAAAAAGCAGTATCTTCAAAGGGCAGTAAGTCAAAAAGCATTAAAAACAATGCAGGCCTGTCTTATTGCATTATTATAATACAGATATTTGGGCATATCTGGAAGAGCTTCTTTAATGTTTTGTATGCGTAGGAATGCACACTATATACTATATTCTAAGACAAGCCTTTGACTATCTGACATTATATTTGAATGGTTCCTAATTGTTCTGACTTAAATACAGATTTGACTTAAAGGCAGATTTAGTCTGGGGCCTGCCTGTAACAACTATCTATGAGGTACATAATGAAAATAAGAATCTAGGAAGGTTATATTTGCTGACTTTCCTTAGCACAGAACCAGGCTACTCTGGTAGGAATATCAGTATCTCATTCATCAACTCTCAAACAATGAAAAAAAGAATGCTGTTAACAAGCATCTTAGAAAATAGATTGTAAATTTCTGGTTATTTATAACCCAATCATTGTTTCTTTGCTTATGTGTTTTTAAGTTACATGATCTTTTAGAACCTTTGTGTTAAGTATTATAAGCAATAACAGGAGCTCTGTAATATAGTGGTTACTAGTCAGGATGCTAACCTCAAGGTCAGCAGTTAAAAACTACCAGCAGTTCTACAGAAGAAAGATGAGACTTTCTGCTCCTGTAAAGATTTACAGTCTCAGAAACCCTTATACAGTTTTGCTATGAGTCAGAACCAACTCCACGGCATACCACCACTACCACCACCAAGCAATAATAAGAATCACTTCATTCATGAATTCAGAATTATATAATACCATTTAATATACAATATTAAGGAACTCTGGTAGTGTAGTGGTTACGAATCGGGCTGCGAACCTTAAGGTCAGCAGTTCAAAACTACCAGCTGCACCGTGGGAGAAAGATGAGGCTTTCTACTCCCGTAAAGATTTACACCCTCGGAAACCCTGTACAGGGTCACTATGGGTCGGAAACGACTCGATGGCACATAACAACA